TGGCGCGCTCAAGTTTTGGTCACAAAAGACCAAAGACATAAAAAACGTCTTGTTATTGACTATTCACAAACAATAAATAGATACACTGCTCTTGACGCGTATCCCTTGCCTCGCATAAATAATATAATTAACGAGGTTGCTAAAGGAAAGATTTACAGTACCATTGATTTACGTTCGGCTTATCACCGAATTCCTATTTCTGACGTTGACAGACCTTACACTGGGTTCCAAGCTGCTGGCTCTTTATATCAATTTTGCAGGGTCCCTTTTGGAGTGACTAATGGAGTGGCTGTATTTCAGAGATACATGGACTCTTTCATTGATCGTGAAAATCTTGAAGGCACCCTTGCATACTTAGATAACGTCACAATTTTTGGGGATGATCAACCACAACATGATAAACGATTGAAAGCTTTTATGAATGCTGCGGAGCGGCAAGGTTTGACATTAAATAAAAATAAGTCTGTATTTTCAGTGACTGAACTGAAAATTCCTTGGGCATTTGGTATCACATGGCAAAATTCGGCCAGATCCTGATCATTTACAACCTCTTATTAATCTTAAACCACCTAGAAATGGAAGTAATTTGAAACGTTGCTTGGGATTATTTGCCTACTATTCGAAATGGATATCTAAATTTTCTGAAAAATTAAAGCCACTTTCAACTAATACATCATTTCCCCTCAAAGGCAAAGCTTTATCTTCTTTTAATCAACTGAAAGCTGATTTGTTAAAAGCGTGCTTGGGGTGCATATATGAAGATGAACCGTTTGTTATTGAGTGTGATGCATCCAAATTTGCGATTGCAGCTATATTGAGTCAAAAAGGAAGGCCGGTTGCCTTTAACTCTCGAACACTCGGTAAGTCGGAATTAAGGCATCCGGCCGTAGAAAAAGAAGCGGCGGCGATTGTTGAAGCTGTAAGAAAATGGGGATATCTTTTGCATGGGAAAAAGTTCAAACTGATAACTGATCAAAAGGCTTTGGCATACATTTTTCGGAAAAATCATAAAAGTAAAATTAAGAATACTAACTTACAATTGTGGAAACTAGAACTTTCCATATTTGACTATGAAATTGTCCATCGCCCAGGTGTAGAAAATGTGGCACCAGACGCATTGTCAAGAATTTGTGCTAGCAACGCTTGTTGTACAATGAGTCTAAGAGATGTTCATACTCAATTGGGCCATCCTGGTGTTCGTCGATTACTTCATTTCATTGGCTCTAAATCTTTGCCCTTTTCTGTTGACGATGTGAAGAGAGAATGCGCTAATTGTCGACAATGTGCCCAAATAAAACCCAATTTTTATAGATTCGATGGGAGCCATCACTTGGTCAAAGCTGCTCGGCCGTGGGAGAGAATTAGTATTGATTTTAAAGGTCCCGTCGCGGGAAAAAGGCGATATTTGCTCGTGGTATTAGACGAGTATAGTAGATTCCCTTTTGTATACCCATGTGCAGACATGACTGCAATCACTGTCACTAAATGTCTCGCATCATTATTTTCATTGGTTGGTCTACCGGAGTATGTTCACAACGACAGAGGAACTTCATTTTTGGCTAATGAACTGAGAGAGATTCTTGCAAGAAAGGGTATAGCGACTAGCAATACAACTCCTTATCACCCGAAAGGGAATTCCCAGTGCGAAAGGGCAAACCAGACCATATGGAAAACTATCAAACTAATGCTGTTATCAAAAAATTTGCCCGAGAGTGCTTGGGAGGAAGTTCTGCCAGACGCTCTACTTGCGACAAGATCACTTCTTTGCACCTCCACTGGTACTACGCCACATAATCGCATGTTCAATTTTGAAAGACGATCTATGATTGGAAACTCCGTACCAGACTGGCTATTGAATGGCGGTAAAGTACTCCTTCGCAAGTTTGTACGAGCGAAAAGCGACCCGATTTGTGAAGAAGTTGAGCTTCTGGAAGCTAACACCAAATACTCGTTAATTCGTTATCCCGATGGTCGAGAATCTACGGTTTCAAAGAGTGATCTGGCGCGATTCCCTGAAACTGTACAATCTGACTACAAGCAATTGGAATTTGAAAAGACTAAATCCATATCGGAATCAACTCCTAAGGATGTGCCATTCAGTTTTGAGAATCTCGATTCGAAGAACGATGACACAATCCCTTCTGATGACTTAGTTGAAGTAGCAGATAAAACTTCTACTCCAATTAAGAAGGAAGAGATGCCTATTCGTCGGTCGAGCCGTTTCAAAAGGGCGCCTGATCGTTATGGAGACTGTGCCTCTTAATTGGGCGACTTTTGAATCCATTTATTTCATGTTTTCGTTTCCATACTTGAGTTATTATTATACTTTTATTGTCTTACTTTTATCAGCTGGGGAGAATGTGGTGATTTATGTATTGAAATCTAGCAACGCCTAAAACAGCCACGACATTTGACCCTGCTGACGTATACTGTTCGTCCTTTAGTAGCATGGTGTTTTGATTTTGAAAGTCATTCTTTGGTTTGTGCTGCTTTAAGACTCTTAGTCGACGTTTGAGCTAATAAAAGCCTAGTATACAAGTTTGTTTCTTTCTGTATTAGGTTCGCCTCACTTTGTGAGACATTTCTTTCATTCAGGAAGCTAATTTAAAATCACACATGGACAAAATATGGAGAATGTATATTATGTGGCCAATAGCCAGCACGAATATCGCTGTTTTATTAATGACTATTCTCATGTTATTAGTGTGTGTACATTTTGCACAAAAAAGATATTACACCAGATAGCATAGGTTTTCTTGGTTAAGATTACTTATAATATAAATCTTCGTACTTTTAAAAGATACACAATCGGGGAAGTCATTTTTAGAGTACTAGCTCACAAGAAATGACTTGGTGAATGAAATTGGGAAATTATTTGCGACAAGATTAAAAATATATCGTTATATTCGATTGCTGTTTTGGATTGATTTGAAATAAAAATGCAACATTTGAGCGAAGCAAATCTCAGTTGTGAAAATTTCTTCCGACCGCATACAAAATTTAGGTTTATTTTGAAACTTTGTTAAAAATATATGAACTATGAAATGTTAAAATAATTATTAGTGCATTTGTTTACCCTTCTATTCAACGATTCCAATGGATTTTTTCCGTATTAAACTATCTTTTGAAAAACTTTATTACATTTTCAATGCAAAAAAAAATTTTGCCTTAGGTTTTAGCCCATATATCGGACTATTCAATCCAGTTAGTTCAATCCAGGGACTGAAACCTATGGTCAGTGGGTATATTCACTTGGCTAACACAGACAGTCCCGAACTCGTAAAGTTGATTATGTTTTTTTTTATTGAGTATAAAGATTGCGAATAATTATTATAATCATGATCAAGTGAGATAGATTTAAAACTATTTTTTTGGAGTAAAACAATCATTAATTTGGTGATAGGCTGATTTCAGTGAAAGTACGAAAAATAAATGTACATAATGGCAATGGAATTGCTTATTGCTGCCAAACCATTGTGTGAATGTGGGGTTGATTAAGCACAGCAGCGCCACCTTGCGCACTTTGATCCATATTTCCTGCTCCCGGTAGGAAGCCGAACGTGTTTGTCTTGCATGAATGAACTTGATTTTGACCGGTTTTCATCATGTTTATCTTGTAAGTAATTCGACTCCGACCATGTAGATTTCTTATAGTGAAATTCGGTCTTGACCACCGAGTCGGAAAACCATAGATCGTAGACTGGAATTATCTTGAATTAATGTTGAACTGGTGAGTCAGCGATTTCCAATGATACTCTGATGTTGTCATCGCTCCTGTTAAAACATACATAAGTCATACTTGTTATCAAATTACATGAACACTTTTCTAAATATCTTCCCAGTATCAGTGTGTCATTACTGAATAATTTCACCCTACTTTATTCAGTTAAGCATTCGCAAGTTTGTATCAATCCATGGTTTAGTTTTTGTTTGAATATCTTCGTGAGAACGAAAACAGCATTGTGAGACTTCCATGAAACTATTCCCTCTAACAAACTTGCCCGGTAATAAAACATTAAAAAATTTTACCAACCCAGAATATTGTAAAAAATTATGGTATGAATTCTTACTTCATGATAAAAGTCTCGGTTGACTTTGTCAGGTTGAAATCATGTATTGCCATTTCCTTTTGAACTTTCAATTTAGCTTCTCTGAGATTGTCACAGAAACACCAAATCATTTCATATTCGTTATCATCACCGATTCGTCGAGTAAAACTCATGTGAGCAATGCCCATCTGAACGCCAAGTAAACGAAGCAGAAAACGATATCTGGAATGCGGAATTACAAGAATACCCAGATAGCACAACTACATTGGGACAACGTTATAATCCGCCGGCAACCGTTGTAGGCGATTTTACAACCATTTACCATGGTAAGGCCATGATTGGCGTTCAACGAAACACGCCATTATGCGAAGAAATGGGCGCGCGATTCGAATATAGCACATGAGGTCGCCATTCATTTTGGCTGTACTCGTAATCGATATCCTGTTGCTAGGTTTTTGCCGTGGATGGGACAGTGAAATTGAACTTTTAATGCTTCATAGTAGAATGGCGAAAGTAGAGATAGTTGTAACCGTGTAAGTTAATTTCATGGTACCGGTACCCTAAGTGCGTTGTCAGGTCACGGTTCATAAGGGTGATACGGTACCATACCGATAAAAGTGGAAACCGTAGCCACCACCGTAGAAAATGTCAAAAGACGGACAACTCACCAGGCCTCTAGGTAGTCGAGTTGTCTCTGGTGAGTTGTCCGTGTAGTCGAGTTGTCCGCCTCCCTATTTATCCCTGGACACCGTAGGTACCGGTATTGACAGAACAAGATGAGGTACGTTACCGTACTTGGTCTTTTGGCAATTTTTTGTTAAGCTTTCTGAGGTTGCCATCTTTTTATTTACGGTACCAGTATTCATTATCGAGTACCGGTACCGGTATTGGTCATTCATCCCTGGATATGATTTTTTATATTTACTTTATTTGTCTAAGTGCAAACATTTCCGCAGCCCAAATCCAACCCGTTGAATGACTTAATCCAGTAATCTGAAAAGTTGTACATTTGTGAACCTTCTGTCTGATGAATTTCAACAAATCTAAATACAGATCTCAATTGGCTGAAATCTAAAATATGTTTTAACAATTGCCACAATCAAACTGAAACTAAAATTTGATGTTTTTGGGTGAAAAATAGCTCAAGGATTATTGTTTTCCCTTTTTGTTTTTGTAACACTTTAAATAAAATTTTGTTTCTAAAGTATAACTTTTTACGCCACACATGCGAGATGCGACATGACCCGCCAGTCTAGGTGCGCAAAATTTTTGCACGCGGTCCGAGAACTTTGCCCAACCCTGCTCTAGTTCATATTTTCAGCTTTGTTGAGAAATAAATTACTGATTTCTGAATAATATCTATTTTGTTTTAAAATTCAATAGAATTATATTGGGTATATATTAATATGATTTATTTTCAGTATGTATGCTATGTAAGCTTACCCAACCAACCTTAATTAGGTGTTATTATATTTTAAAGTGAATTGGAAAGTAGACCGCTAGCAAAAAAAATTCGGGCGATTGGGGGGAAGCCCATCTCTGTACAATGACTGCCAAATGTGCATGCAACTGTGCAATGCCCAGCGACTCTAAAAGCGTGAAGTATTGTACGACACATCCTTTACAAATATTTGGACATACTTTGTGTAATATCCATTTTTTTCCGGTTATTCTAAATAATTATTACCGATTAGGTATTCTGTCAAGTGTCAATATTACCATTGTAAGCTTAATGATATATACCATTTTTATAATAGGCCCTATGACAATGGACTGGAAAATTCACCTGCTTCAATTCCCTCTTTCACGCAATCATACACTGTGTCATTTCAAGCATCTCAATGTTTCAATGCGGACAATGCCCAAAACAGGTGTTTTCGTTTTTTAGTTTGATAGTAGCTCCTTGTATATCTGTGCCATAAAATATTGCACAATAGCTAGATATATCGGTTGAATAATTACCTAGTACAACATTATGTGGTTAATATTGTATTTTCCGGCGAATACGTCGCTTTTCTAGACCCAAATTGTTGGCCTGATTTTTTTTTGGGGGGGGGGGGTCGTCTTATTAGGCGAGTATGATCATTTTCATTTTTTTGTCGCCTTATTATTGAATCCGGACAATAAAATACCTTCGGCGATAGCATCCCCCACGTCCTCATCAGGTTAGTTTAAATAAATCGACATTCTCTCGCTGTGAATCTGAAATTTCAATACTGTGATTATCATATTTGCATTATCATATATGGATTGAATATTACGCTACAAGAAAAAGTCATAGGCTATTTTGACCAATGGGCAAACGCGGCGACCGCTCGAAAGGCATTGCATGGTAATTTAAGATTCCTGACGTTGATGCGATTTTACTACCCCGACTTATTGGCCGGTTATATGCAAAAACCCATTTTTTCAGGCTTAAAAACAGGCCTCGTCTTATTCGCCGGGTAGACTTATTCGCCGGAAAATACAATAATTAATATTAATGAAAAATTAATATTCTGGTAATTAGTATAGGCCATTCGTTCACGTTTATCATCTGAAAGACAATCATGTACTATATATTGTGTAACACTAACTTGATTTTCAGAGATCAAGCCATGCTTCAATCCAGTCCATAGAAAAATTGTTGGGACAGGCAGTAGAAACACTTATGCTACAAGCTACGGCATCTGCAATTTTCCACTGATTATAGTGTGGACTCGGACATACCGGAATTGATGAAATTCATTGTCTGATTACATTTTGATCCAGAAAAAATGGCTCGTAAGTTGAATATTTTTATAGGCTGATTACATACACTTTACGGCGGTGGTTCCCAAACTTCTTTTCCGCGACCCCAATTTTTGTAAAATCACAGACTACAGATACTTGCGACCCCACAACGAGAAAACATTAAAAATCAATTTATTCTATTCAATCATTCTGATGAAAATCGACTGTAAGTTTGCGGGGCGTTGGTGTAACGTGGTTGTACTTAACTGTTTAGTTCAGTGGTTCCCAACCTTTTTACCCTAGCGGGCAAGCAAAATTAATTTAAAAGAGTTCGCTGATCGGCCATCGTATGAAGACCACGATGTAAAAATCTCTGAGATTCAGAATATTTGTTTAGTTTTAGTATAATATTAAAATATTGCAGATTACTCCATAATTAATTCTAAAGCTAAACGGAACATGAAAGTAAAATAGGTGAAAATACCTTTGCTGGGTCTCATCTTATTTTTATTTTAAGTCCTTTTATTGGTTGTCGTTTTGTTTTTGACTGCATGAAGCGCTTCGAAATTATGTATGAAATACAATATGCCCCATATTTTCGCTTCGTGTTCAAGGAAGATTATTTAAAAGTCTAAATACGATCCGATTTTAATATTAAAATTGTTCACTTCTATTATACGAATGGGATGTGGACAAAACACATATGTGTATAAGTAGATACTCGCGATAATTAACATAGAGCTTTTGCAACGGATGGAAACCTTTTCATTAAAATGTATTTTTATAATTGTGCTTATTTACTCATTCCAGATAAGATATTTGTCAAGTCTCGGAGGTTGCTCTAAGAAAGACTGGATTGGAGAATCATGAGCTCAGTTACAACAAATTTACTCGCACGCTCTTTTAACTGTGAAGGACGCAGTGGATAAGAAGGAGTGGGACGCCCTTAGTTTCTGCTATTAAAGGTATGTAATATGTTTATCATATTGTACCATCATCCTTCTCTGCTCTACCCTCTTCTATTTTATAAGTATAAGATTATTTTGACTCCAAATCAGCTTAAGATAATTCATAAGGGAAATGAACAAATATTGATTAAATAGAATCTGACAATCTGGAGTGAAAACAAAACCTTAATTAAGATTAAAGCGTAAAGAATATAAAGTTTTGCCAAAAAGATGCCTATCGTGTTCATGAATTAAATTAAGTTACACACTACACAACAAAAACAAGAGATATAATAAAATAAAAACAGGCGAGAAAATTTAGATAAGTTGGGTAGTAAACAAAATGTACTTGCCAGTTGCCACACCATTCATTTTTATCAATATGATTGTCAAATCGAATAATGATTTTGTAAACAACTGTGAACAGTTAAGAAATTGAATGTAGATTTCGTATACAAAAGTGAACAGTATAGAAAAATAGTTATTAAGGAGATATCGCCAAGCTGATTATGGTTAGAGTCAAGTGCCAAATTGCCAATCCAATGTTGCCAGAGTTTGGTGCATAATGGCGAACAGTGGTTTTCGAACTTATTTGTATCATCGCTCCCTTACAGTACTTTTTACATTATCATCCCCCCTAGCACAACAGCAAATGATGAAGTTACAAATAAATTTATTGTAAATCAATTAAACAAATAGACTAATCATGGTGCATGATGTTTCTAATAAGATAGATGAATTTCAACAAGGAATATTTGAAGACATTTTAGTCAGATAAAATCTCAAATCATCATTATTCCCTCCAACAAATATTCCCCTCAAAACATTGTCTACGCCCCCCTTGCGGAATCAAGAATTTCTGTATTTCTCAATTATTATTGTCTTGTCAATGTAAGCTTCACTCACACATTTGCGACTGCAGAAACTTGGCTTAAGATTCCTACTCTGAAAATTTGTTGGGATGCAGTCATTCAGACTAGGCTTTGAACTCTGGTGCTGTAATTTGCTAATACTGCAATTTAACACAGAATTTTTATATTTTTCAGATCTGGATGATCTAGCAACGAACTCAGAATACTTTTATTACATGTATACATATTTGTAAAATAAAGACATTTTGTTATCTTTTGTTTTTTATTATATAAATAATGTTAGATTAGTGGGAATTTCTATGTAGTATAGATCCATACCCTGTCTGTACAACACATCGCCTAACTTGGCCCGACCATATGCCACGATTGTATTACAACGTGTCACCTACGTTTGCCCGACCGTATTTCACGATTGTGTTACAGCGTATCGCCCACATTGAACCGGCCATATTTCACGATTGTGTTACAACGTATCGCCTACGTTGGCCCGACCGTTTGCCACGGTTGCATTACAGCGAAAGGACCGACGTTGGCCCAGCGGCCAAATCTTCGCTGGAACATGGTTGTTCGCCATTATTGGGCCGGTGGTTCGAACAACGTTCGGCCATGGTTGTTCCGACATAGTTGTGCTATCTGGGTACGTACAAATCGTAAAAAAAAATAAAAAGAACAGATAAAATAACATTGCCAATGTGAATCTTTTGCTGTGACATGAAAAAAGGTGGATTATAGGTAATATATAACCGTAAGCAAACTAACTTACGGTGAAAATGCATGACCATAAATGCAAACTCTCCCTTTCTCCGAGAGTAGTTTCCTCATGTGAATCCCACAATCTTCCCGTTTCTACCTACAAGACAATAAGGAAAGTTACAATATTATACAGTACAATATATAATCTGGGAATCAAGTATTTTGCCAAGGGTGATATTTTAAAATTCTATTTTCCACAAACCCTTTTTAAATGCTGATATAAAATTCTAAATTTTCAAGTTTTAGGTCTTAAAACGAAAAAGAGTATCTTCCCCGGAACGTTTTTTTTAATTATAATTCATATAAACAATATATATTCTTAGACTAACTCTTAATAGAGAAGGGTCACATTCTTGTATCTTGTGATAGCATGAAGTTACAGTTATTACAACAGGTCCTCGTTCCATATTCTATAAGTGAAATATTAAAGAGTGTATAAAATACGTTGAGCGTAAGGAAAATTTAAAATATTTAAAATTTAAATCGTTAAATCTCAGAGGGAACGTACAAATTATTTACGTTGTTAACGAGAGGTATACAGATTATACGCCAAAACTGGACTAGTTTGAAACCTCTCTTAAACTACCAATTCGGTAAAATTTTGCATTACAATTCATATTCATGTCTTATGGACCGAATATATCACTAAAACATAGTATTAGAAAGGTCATTCGAAGTAATAAACGCTAGATGTCACGACAAAACTGTTAACGCAAATATGTGTTGATGAGGTTTCTCGAAATGTCGAAACATTAAAAAATAACATATTCATCTCTTGCATTATGTCAGGCAATAAAACAACTGACCAACCTGCTCCCATTTTACGAACTTCACTTCTAATTTTATTTCCACTTCTCACGTTAATGCACCTTCTGGTATTACGACATCACAGCCGCATAGTATCAGTCTTCCATCACGAAAATCTCTTTTCCTCACAGAAGATTACCTTCTCTTCACTGGAGGCGAGGTTGGAGGTGACTGACTGTTATGCAATGAACTTAAACGCTTAATTTTGTTTGAGTTTGTTTGATGGCTGACTTCATGCTAACAATCGTTGAATTCAATATACTGTTTTCCTAAAGAGTTTTCAAGGATTCTTCGGTATTCGATTTAAGATTTGTTCTTTATTACCTTACTTAATATTACTAGATTTCGGCATTAAATAAATTTTGTGCAGTACAAATATTGATCATAAAATAGAGAAATATAATTGGTACATTTAGTATCCGTCATCCGGCACAAATGTTTATTGCAATGGAATATATATGGGTTAGTTCAGATAACAATTTATGACGTTATCAATTCTCACGAGAGTTCCTCGCGCACTTGCAAGTGGTCACGCAATTTGAAATTAATTTAGTGGTTATAATAAGTATGAGTTTATTTCGACTCCATAATCAGCACAACAATAAAATGATTGGTAAAAATAAATAAATAAAAACTGATTATGAAATCAGGAGAGCAAACAAAATCTTAGATAAACCTTAAAACGTACAGAATGTATATATGATGGAAGGTTTTGCCAAGGAGAAGCGGAACGTGTTCACTCACCTAAAATATATGAAATATTTCTCACACGCTCACACGCACCCACACACAACCATACAGAAGTTATAAAGTAAAAAGAACATGATAAATTAGATCATGATAGTTAAAAAAATAAAATGAATAAAAAATTACTTGCCACACCATATTAATAAATTTATAATGTTTGCCACTGCCGAATTGATCGATTTTATAAATGGGAGTGAACAGTAAAGATACCTTTTATGAAAAATATATTGCCAAGATGATTGTAGTTGGTGGAATTGCCAAAATGCCCAACCAAAGTTGCCAGAATTGGGTGCATGAAGAGGTTACTTTTCTACTTTTCAAGTAATAAAATGTAACTTTTTGAAACTTGTCTCAATGTCACAAACAAAATTTGTTTAAAGAAATGTCAATTGTGTAGTCTATATCAATTGCTACTGTCTGGTAATATTTTGCAGACGATCTACTTTATTGACTCAATTTTATAACTAAATTAGCAAAAATACTCACGGAACTGAAAGCGGTCGCGGTCGTATTTCTGAAAAATATTGCAGAAGTTTTCCAAGTGATATTTTTATGTTGCACTGAATCTATGAGTTTAATTAATTTGAGTTTCATATAGTTTTTCATTTGTAATGTATGAAAAAAAAATGTATAGGCTATATTAGCGCGATATCAATATGATATATAAGTATTTTAAACTACAATTGTTCAAACACTCAGTCACTTTGGATTAAAATTTTGCTTGAATTTGTATAAAGGACTCTGGCCTTGACCAGTGATGAAAGCGACTTACCACACGTGATTTGGGGAAAATGAAAATCATCATATCCAGGATCCTCATAGCGGAAAATTGCTATTGCCGGTGGTTCAACAGATTCAGATCTTCCTGAATGCGATGCCTATAAATATAAGTTATATTCATGAAATTTGAAACGACGATCATGTGTTTCCCGTTTTAGTCTATTTGGGTCAACAATGCAACATGCAATTTTGGACAACGTTTTTATGGTTTCATTTTATTATGTGTGTTCAATTTATTGTATTACAACGAGGTAGAAGGGCTCAAAGAATATGGCGGAGCCTTTTGTATTAATTGTTACTTGTTTGAGGCGTTGTTATTAGCGAATCTTTTGCCGCTTCGTATAAAAATTTATGTCAAACCAATTGAAACAAAAAAAAACACAATTCACTCAAGTCATCTTTCGTTCTTTTTCTTCTTGTTGATTCATATCTATTCATATTTTTCTTGCGCAAAATTATATGAAAATTAGCACATAAAATTGTGAATAATAGCGTTTATTATGACTAATGCAAATTATAAGCATTAACGTCACTAATAAAATTTGACGACGGTGATTCAAATATAACATTATCTATAACTAAGGGCGCAGCAACCATGGTTTTCTAAGGGGGAGGGGGTTCAGAATAGAAAATTCCCGAGCAACACTCATCCCGATTGGACCACTTCTTAAAAAACGTCTTTTTCAGCGGATAACGAGGTTTCTGTTGCGTAAAATATTCAATCCATGGCCGACCCGACAATTTAAAATGTCTTCTCATATCAATTCAATTGTGTTCACCGTTGCTCGCCTTTGAGTTGACTAATATACTACGGCAACCATGAAATACTTGTTGGACCGTCTACTAGCAATAAATGGATTGAAATCGTATTTTTGAGTTGCTATTTCAGCACTTAGGATTATCGCAATGTTTCGTTGTTAACGGAGAGTTTGCAGTTATGAAGCCAATTATATTTGATACCTTCATATCGAATTCGGTCTATGCATGTATCAGTGATTTCTAGATGCAGTGATGGGACAAATATCGGCCGAC